ACCATCGGCGGCCAGGCCTTCACCCTCTCTTCCCCCATCCTTTGGAACCCCATCCCACAGTCCCTTCGCCTCGTCCTTTCAAGTCCCATCTCCTCGTCGACCAAATGCGCCTTCGATCACCCTCCTACCACCCCCCCACCCTCTCTCCCTCCCTCCCTCCCTCCCCTCCACCCCCTTCCCTGATCCCAACCCCCAGCTCGGGTCCAAATCAGTCGTTCTTGTTGTTGCTGAAAGCCCCCCTTCCAGCCCCCCAAACCCCCCCCACCCCACCCCACCCCACCCAGAGAGAGAGAGAGAGAGAGAGGGTGGGGGTCAATACTCACACTCCTTGGACATCCCGACCTGGAAGCACTTGTGTAGACGGCAATACTGACACCGGTTGCGAGTGACTTTGTTGATGGTGCAGCTCTTGTCTCTGTGACACGTGTAAACCATGTTCTTCTGGATGCTCCTCCGGAAAAAACCCTGGAAGAAAATCACCGGCTCAAACCATCACCACTCACTCCCCCACCGGAGCCCTTTAATCCCAATCCCTGCTCTTTCTCTCTCTCTCTCTCTCTCTCTCTCCCCATCGTGTCTGCGCTGGTGCTCGCTCCTCCACTGGAACTCGTGCCATGACCTCGCACGTGCCCTCTGACCGTTCCCCCCCCCCGCGCCCCCACCCCCCCACACCTCACCGCACCCCCCCCCACCCCACAACCCCAGGCACTGACCTTACAGCCTTCGCAGGAGCTGACCCCGTAGTGATACCCCGAAGACTTGTCCTGACACACAAAGCAGGGCTTGTAGACACGAGGTGGGGGCGGAGGGGATGGGGAACTGGGAATCATCTCCTCCGAGCTCGTGCTCTGTGTCTCCACCGCTGGGGAAAGAACAAAAAAAGAACACCCATGACGCAGGCATTAATAATAATGCTTCCTGACTCCGCGCACACGCCTGTGTTTACCCGGTTGTTGGTCGATCGGCCGATCGCTTTTCCCGGGCTAATAAATCCCTTGAAACATCAATAAAACCCGCGACCGCTTGTGAGACACTGCCCCGGTTCGCCCACAAGATACGCAGTCACTCCACTTTACGATATATTCCCGGGAAGGGCTTCGGGACGTCTGGAAGACGCGATAAGGCGCTGTGTCAAATGCCATGTGGTCCTGTGCCTTTCACATCGGGGAGGAAGTGGGGGGGGGGGGGGGGGGAAGACATGGGTATTGCGGGGGAGTGGGTTCGAACCCACAAACTCCTGACCCCCAGAGGTGTGGGAGGGAGGAAGCAAGCGACCGAGTGAGCGTGACTGACACTCTCTCCGCCAGCGCATTTCACCACACTTAACCGGTTGGACAGATGAGCGTTTAATCGGAATCATTCACATGTCATGCGATCCAAGAAAAGCGTTTGAAATGCATTAACAAATCTCCAGCGCTGTTATTAATTAAATTGTTTTTTACACACACACTCTCTCTCTCTCTCTCTCTCTCTGTAACACAGCCCTGGACACACACGCACACGCACGCACGCAACACACACGCACACGCGCGCATTCACACGCAAGAGACAGACAGACAGACAAAAGACTCACATAATAATCATAATTCGTGCATTTGACACAGCGCCTCATCACGTCTTCGAGACGTCTCAAAGCGCTTCACAGGATACACTGTAAAGCGAATTGACTTGTGTATTTTTTTGTGGGTGAAACGTACGTACGTACCTACATACATACGTGCACGCACGCATGCAAAGACACGCCAACCCAGACACGGACACACGCACACGCACATACAGAGATACACACACACACACACACACTGCTCCCTCTCCAACCTCTCCAGTGTCGGGACTCCGGGGTGATGGGTGAGGGGGGATAGGGGTGCGGTTGTAAGGACACAGGCCACGGCGTGTGGTGGAACAGGCTAGATGGGCTGAATGGCCTTATCCTGTTCCTGCTTTCTCACCGTCCGATTGCTAACCTCCTGGGATTGGAAACAGCCCCTGTTTCGCTCTCAAGACCGAAAGCTTCGAAATCCCCCCCCCCCCAAAAAAAAAGACATATCATCTGAATTCTTACCCCCACCCCCCACCCCAGAGCCTGGTAAACTCCCCCTGACCCACCAAGTGTCGTAACCCACCCCCACCCCTCACAATTTCCAAGGTACTGATACAATTAGCTGCGCCTGAGCTCAGAGAAGGGGCTTTGATGGTCTGACTCCATGAGAGCACAACATCCAATTAGCAGCTGTAATGAAAAGCAGCAGTTACACAACACAGCCCCGGCTTGTGTCGGTGTCCCAGCCATCCAGGCACACATCGCTTCCTCTCGCACGCTCACGTGTTATGTATTAAAAGGCAGAGACACTGAGAAGGCACTGAGACAGAGAGAGGCACTGAGAGCGAGCGAGAGAGACACACTGAGACAGGCACAGAGAGAGAGAGAGAGAGACGGAGAGAGTGAGACGCTGAGACAGAGTCAGAGAGAGAGAGAGAGAGAGACGCTGAGACAGAGAGACACTGAGACGAGAGAGAGTGAGAGAGACGGAGAGAGTGAGACGCTGAGACAGAGTAAGAGAGAGAGACACTGAGACAAAGAGACACTGAGACGAGAGAGAGTGAGAGAGACGGAGAGAGTGAGACGCTGAGACAGAGTAAGAGAGAGAGACACTGAGACAGAGACACTGAACGAGAGAGAGTGAGAGAGACGGAGAGAGTGAGACGCTGAGACAGAGTAAGAGAGAGACACTGAGACAGAGAGACACTGAAACCAACACAGAGATAGAAAGAGAGAGAGAGACAGAGAGAGTGAGATGCTGAGACAGAGAGAGGAGAGACACTGAGAGAGAGAGAGTTACTGAGACGGAGATAGAGAAACACATCGAGACAGAGCTAGAAAAATAATGATAGAGGGAGACAGACACTGAGACAGAGAGAGGAAGAGAGAGAGAGAGAGAGATACCGAGAGAAACACACTGAGACAGACAGAGAGGGAGAAAGAGAGAGAGATGGAAAGAATGAGACACGGTGACAGTGAGAGAAAGAAAGACACTGAGACAGACAGTGAGCTACTGAGAGACACAGAGACAGAGACACACAGAGAGATACTGAGACGGAGAGATACAGGGATAGAGAAAGAGAGGGAAGGACACTGAGACAGAGAGAGAGATAGAGAGACACTGAGACAGAGAGAGACAGATAGTCACTGGGACAGAGAGAGAGGCGCAGACGTACCGAGAGACACTGAGACAGACAGAAGGAGAGAGACACTTAAGACACAGATACACGTAGACACACACACACAGATAAAGAGAGAGTCGGAAACATACACATACACTGAGACAGACAGAGAGAGAGGGAGACACGGTGTCTGTCTGTTGGAGCTGTGTGTGTGTGTGTGTGTGTATGTGAGAGTCACTGGGACACTATCCCACGTGAGGGGTGCTACATAAGTGCGAGTTGTCTTGTTGTTGAGCCTGTGAGGAGCGATGGCGGCTGGGGGAGGCGGGGAGGGCTGTGGATGGGGGGCTGGACATGTTCATCATCACCTTGTAAAGAGGTCGGAAGCGGGACACAGGCTGAGCCTCGGGGCAGCAAATGTGAGCAGCTTCCCTGCTGGTCAGCGTGCGTGGTTGTGCAAGTGTGTGTGTATGTGTGTGTGCGTGTGTGTGTATGTGTGTGTGTGTGTGCATGTGTGTGCGTGTGCGAACCACACTTCACACACAAGCCTCCCCCACACACAGCAGGTAATCCGCAAACACACACACACGCACATTTACACAGTGCCTTTCACGTCGGGAGGACGTCCCAAAGGCTCTGACTGGACAGACAGACAGCCAGAGGGATTTGGACCCGAGCTGGGAGGGGTGTTGGGATCAGTTACCCTCTGCCAATCACCCACCAATAACTGATCAGTCATCAATAATCTGATCATACGAAATGCTGGACGGAAAAAAGACCGAGGTCCATCTCGTTTGCCTTTCCACACATGTCCCCGAACTACCTCCGCACTACATCCCATCAAGTTATTTCCTAAAGGAAAACTATTTAATCTGTGTTTCAAAGAATCGCTCATCAATAATCGATCACTGGCCAATGATTGATCACTCGGCCTCTGCTCTCTCTGCTTATGTCTGTGGGAGTGTGACTTGTGCAGAAATGACATTCACACGTGTCAGACGAACACTGAGGAACTTGGCTCGGGGAGAGAGAGGGGGGGGAGCGGAGGGAAGAGGGGGGAGAGACCGGGGGGAGAGAGGGAAGAGGGAGTCAGAGGTGGGAGAGAGGGGGGAGAGTCTGGGGGAGAGAGGCGGGGAGAGAGGAGAGGCGGGGGGATAGAGATAGGGAGAGAGGGGCGGAGAGGGGAAGAAAGAGGGGAGAGACAGGATGGGGGAAGAAGAGGGGGGAGAGGAGGGAGGGTGGGAGGAGAGGGGGAAAGGCAGTTCATTCCCCACTGGAGCTCTTTTACTCTAATCACTGACACCTCTCATTCTCTGTCACTGTCTCTCACACACACACACACACACAATCTCTCTCCCTGTCCCTCAATAAGTCTCTCTGTCTCTCTCTCGCTCGGACTCTCTCTCTCTCTCTCTCTCTCTCTCTCTCGCGCTCATCAGCCTCAGCTGACGGCTGCAGTGTGATAAATCGCTTCCGACCCAACCCCTGACCCCTCGAAATGAGCACAAAAACTCCGGGTTAAAACAAACAGCCATAAATCTGAGAGCCTGGCAGCGGATTAGAGAGAGCGGCAACGGATTAGAGCACGACACACACACACACACACACACACACACACACACACACGTACTTGGCCAAACTGACTGGCGCGCTTCGCCCGCCGCAACACACAAGTCACTGCACTTTGCAGCCTATCCTGTGAAGCGCTCTGAGACGTCGCGACGAGGTGATAAAGGCGCTGTATCGAATGCGAGGATCATTACTCTTGTTATACTTCACGCAGCAAACAAAGACATGACCCACAGGACGAACGCTGGGGAAAATTCCCACTGTTTTCCCACAAAAACGTTGAGACAGGAATGATGCCAGGGGGCAAGACTGGGTGGAATTGGGTGTCGGTGTGGGTGGGGGTTCCCTGTTCTCAGTTGGTTTCACTGTGTGTCGTGTTGTGATGAGTTGAGATTCCTTCCCACAAATCCAGAAGTGTGCAAGGAATGAGTCTGTCAGCGAGTGGCGATGTTAGCAGGGGGGGGCGGGGGGGGGGGGTGGCGAGAGAGAGAGAGAGAGAGAGAGAGAGCGAATGGGTGAGAGCGCGAGAGAGAGAGAGAGAATGGGTGAGAGCGCGAGAGAGAGAGAGAGAGAGAGAGTGAATGGGTGAGAGCGCGAGAGAGAGAGAGAGAGAGAGAGAGAGAATGGGTGAGAGCGCGAGAGAGAGAGAGAGAAAGAGAGAATGGGTGAGAGCGCGAGAGAGAGAGAGAGAGAGAGAGAATGGGTGAGAGTGCGAGAGAGAGAGAGAATGGGTGAGAGCGCGAGAGAGAGAGAGAGAAAGAGAGAATGGGTGAGAGCGCGAGAGAGAGAGAGAGAGAGAGAGAATGGGTGAGAGTGCGAGAGAGAGAGAGAATGGGTGAGAGCGCGAGAGAGAGAGAGAGAGAGAATGGGTGAGAGCGCGAGAGAGAGAGAGAGAGAGAATGGGTGAGAGCGCGAGAGAGAGAGAGAGAGAGAGAGAGAATGGGTGAGAGCGCGAGAGAGAGAGAGAGAGAGAGTGAGAGAATGGGTGAGAGCGCGAGAGAGAGAGAGAGAGAGCGAATGGGTGAGAGCGCGCGAGAGAGAGAGAGAATGAGAGAGAGAGAGAGAGAGAGAGAGTGCTGGAGTGTTACCAGACTTAAACCTCTTCCTGATGTTGCGTCTCTCTGTGGTGAGAGCTGGAGGAAAGGCTGGAATATTGTGAGATCCAAGCCGGGTTGGGCCGGCAGCCATTTTCCATCTCAGCCGCTGGGAAACCCTCAGACAGGGAGACGTAGGAACAGGAGGAGGCCATTCAGCCCCTCCAGCCTGTTCCGCCAAGACACGGAGCCGGCCGGAGCACCGACCCTCGGAGTCTCCTCACTGCCGTGATCCATTCACACGGGACACTGAATCCTGCCCGTGTGAACATCACACACACACACGCGCGCGCGCGCGCGTGCCCACGTCACACGCGTGCACACAACACACGTGGAGGCACAGACACTCCGCACGCACGGACACACACACACACACCACACGCGCACACACGCGTGCGCTCGCATAGTATATGGTTGAACACAGTGTGTATCACACACACACACACACCCCAGGAGGGAGCTCGGAAATGAGCAGTAAAACAACTGTGTGTGTGTAGTGTGTGTGCGTAGTGCGTATGCAGTGTGTGTAGTGTGTGTGTGTAGTGTGTGTAGTGTGTGTAGTGTGTGTAGTGTAGTGTGTAATGTGTGCGGTCAAAGTGGGAAGAGGATGGGATGTGAGGAGTAGGGAGAGGGGATCAAGCCCCTGTACTTACAGCAGAGAGATGCTCCTTTCTGGGTCTCGGGGCTCCCGAAATAGCCGCTGCCCCCCAGGACCTCGATGGGGAGGGGTGTCCGCAGGGTGCTGGCGAAGGGGAACGAGTAGACGATGGCGGGGAAGCTCTTAATGTGGGGCATCGAGCCCCCCATGGGGCGGAAACGATCTGGGTTCGTTGCCATTCCTGTCCACTGCCTGGCTTTGATTCCTTCTGGAGGGGGCTGGTAATCTGCCTTCCCGGTGTCATGTGCGGCGTCCTTGGCTCTTTTCTCTCCCACGGAACCACCCCCCCACCCACCCCAACCCCCCCCAGTCCCCACCCACCCACCCACTCACACACGCACACACACACACGCACACGCACACGCACGCACCCACCAACACCCAACTCCAAACTCCAAACCCCCACCACTTAAAAGCTCCGTCACATCAAATCAGCCTCTCTCTCTCTCTCTCTCTCTCCCACCACCCCGCCCCCCCCCACCTCCCACCCCGCCCGCCCGCCCCCACCCCCCTAAAAAAAAAGCCTTCCCTTCCACTCCCGCACCCCTGAACGGGGTCAGGATCAGAGCATCGTGCTTTGGGGAGGTGGTCAGAGCCCCTGGTCCAAGTGGAGGGTGGGATGAGGGTGAGGTGTTGGGAGGGGTCGATAGTGGAGATAGGTTTGAGTGCGTTGTTGGATGAGCTTCCACGTTCTGTCTCTCCCTCTCTCTCTCTCTCTCCGTGTCTCTCTCTCTCTCTCTCTCTCTCGAACACGCAGCGATCTGTAGAGGGAGAGAAAATGGAGGAGATTAGGGAGGGTTCCTATATGTGTGTGTGTGTGTGTGTGTGTGTGCTGTTTGTCTTGTGGTTTTAACGCTATCAGAACATCTTCCTTCACCCATTGTTGGGAGCGGTGAGTTGGCCCAGGGCGAGGGTGCGACAACTCACGTCAACACCTCGCGTTCCAGCTGCGAATCGCCCTCGCTCGCCACAGCGCTCGCTCAATACAGCCCCCCTCGCTCACTCGCTCACCACACA